TTAAAATGTGGTCACCGTATCAACTTATAGAAGAAGTTAGACAAACTGACCTTTGCACGCCTAGCTAATGACGAGAGAATTCCATCCCTTTCTGCACAGTAAGATTCATAGGATTCATCTCCAACCTGCATATATTTATTTAGTTTGATTAGAAAAACTCAAATATGCATGCACTGAATAACATACCCCAATTACATTATTTAGAAGAAATTATAGAGCCACCTGGTTTCCACAGCCCTATAACCTGTTGAAACCAAGACTTTTTTACTTCATAATCTCCCAAAGAAAGAACGAAAAGGCCCATATATACATACATACATACATATATACATACACACACTACAGAATTATGCAAAAGCATTTCAAACGTAAACTCTTATAATCAAGAAAGAGCATAAAGAGATGGAAACATGAACTAGTTTATAATTAGTAGAAGAAGACAGAAAGACATGGCAATAATGTATTACTCTCAAATTATGATTCCCTATCCCCACACCACCATTTTTTCTCTACTTTCCTTAGAATTGAATTTATGAATGGCTAGGTCAGCTTAAAAAAGTAGAAAATATATCTAAAAATGGGGAGAACATAACCTTGGGTGGACTCATGACAAGGCTTGCAAGAATTTGACCAGATATATTAGAACAAAGATTAACAGATGCCATTTTGTATATTTGCTCCCTTATGTCAGAAGTAAACCCAGTGACCTCCATGTAACCTCCTCTTTTTCCACACTCCCCATGGTAACCTGAAAACAACAGAAAAATGCAACCATGTTAAATCTTAAATTCAATTGCTTGCAAAAGCTTCTCCACATCTTATCATTTAAAGAATTTACCTTTAGAGACTGACTGAAAGGATACTAGGGAGATGTCCTCCTCACCATACCCCATAGATCGGGAAACTTTCTTGAAAGAGTTAAATTTCTTCTCTGGAACATAAACATTTTCCTGGTACACCTATATAAAACCCACTGAACATTACTAAAGGCCTCTCTATTAGCTGGATAACACAGTTGAGCAAATCACAATTATTATATTTCCAAACACGTGAGATTTGATCAATTAATGAAAGTAAAAACAGCTCAAATTCACCCACCTCATCTGCAAGAAGAACAAGACCTTCTTGTTTACAGAAATTCACAATGTCCCTCTGGTTCTCTTCAGCAAGAACCTGAAGGTATGGTTAAAAAACAAAACGGCAGAAACAAGCCAGTAATCAAAACTTAAGGTAGCTTCTCTTAAATAATTATAAAATACTAAATTAATTGAAAAAATTATTTCAACCAGAGAGCTATGCAATAATTACCTGCCCTGTTGGGTTCCCTGGATTTATTACGACCAAGGCCCTAACAGTGACACCCTTGGCCTTGGCATCTTCCAACTGCTTCCTAAGCTCTGCTATTTCCAATCCCCATCCGGTTGCTTCATCAAGATAGTAAGGAACCTACAATTATCAGACAAGACTATTACCCAGAAAGTTCTTCATAATGTAACAAATCATATAAAAATACAAGCTCCACATTTTACCAAATCAGGTCAACAAAAAAATTAAAGCAATCACTAGTTGGTTCAGTCTAAACTAGGCTAAACCAGCTAAATTTAGCACAAAAGGATGTCTAATTAAGCAACCAACTATTAAATACACAAAATAAGTAGCAACTATGCAAAATAAACATACCAGAGTGCCACCATGGAGAGCAATTGAAGCAGAGTATAAAGGGTACTGAGGAATGGGACAAAGGATTCCATCTTTCTCTGATCTTATAAGTAAAGTCATCATTGAATGGACCTGTGGAGGAAAAAAAATCAGTCACACATTCTTTAAATTGGAAATTATTCACATTAAAAGAGAGTGAGTTGAAATGTAACTTACAGCTGGGCTAGCACCATCTGTCAAGAAAATATCATTTGGATCAGCAGGAAAACCGTCACGAGCTTCAATTCCAGCAGCTATGGTATCACGTAATCCCTTGATACCCTGATGTGAAAAGAAAAAAATAATGAGCCCCGTAAATATTATCATAAGTATTTAATTAACTTAAATTTCTCTGCTTTGTTCATTCATCATAACCTGACTATGACTATAAGCACCAGTTGCACCTCCGGGAATTTGATCCAGAATCTTCCAAGCTCGCTCAATGGAATCCGCGCTGCAGAAAATCACAAACCAAGTTACAGGAGATAACTCTATAAACAAAAACTAGTCGTTCACCACATTAAAGAATTCTCTGCAAGTAAAGTGTAAATAACAAGAGATGAATAACAGGTTCTTTTTAACTAGCTCAAAGTCGAGTTTTCAGCAAAATATGAATAAATAAATAATGGCATTCACCAAATAGTAGAAGAACCAGTGAAATGATTTAAAAACAAAGCAATAGATTCAAAACATCATGCTCCAGGTTTCTTCTGCTTTACTTGCATGGAGAACAAACAGTTTTAACCATACAGCAGTTTACTTTTCGCATAGAAAGTTGTAGTATGTACCATCATTTTATTCAGGGTAGAGACATTAACAGTAAATTTCATTAGATTAAACTAATGTAGTTTGTTAATCAGAATACTCAAACCTCTATTGGGAGATGAAAAGAAGCAATCAAATCATAATGCAAGATGTGGAGTCCAGGAAGCATATAAGTTCCTATTCAGTTTTTTACCTGAACAAAGCTTGTGATTCACTTCTGTCCAAAATAGCTGGATGGTCGCACAATGCAAGGACCTAACAGACATGATCCCAATTAGAATTGCTTTGAAAGAACTAGGACTGGAGTACTTTGTAGCATGAACTTAGAAACAAACCAACCTCTCGGAAAAATGTTATCGGCTGCTGACCAAGAGACTGGGGATTTCCAATATTGCAGTATATTATCTGTGTAACAAATCATCCCAAAAACACAACGAATAGAATATAAGAATCAACAAACAAGCTTTAAAGCAAATGCTCAGAAAAAAAAAAAAAAAAAATGTGGCAAGTAACAGAGTTTTAAATGTATTTTGTCATAGGAATTTATAGTACTCCCTTTTATTTATGAACTTTAATTTTCTGAATCAATAATTCACTGAGGCAAAAATTCCAGCAGGCAGAATTTCTAAATTAAAAAAGCATCAAATAGTAACATAACTATACATCAATGAATAGCATGATATTAGACCAAGTCTAAAATAGAGTGCTTCAATAATGTGTAACTGAATATTAAAATACGCCCCACATGTCCATTTAAAAAAAACTTATAATGAGAATATATATATGTACCTCGTCAAAAGGGTGAGAACCTGGCTTAGCCTGTAACTCTTCTTGCAATTTCTGGGACAGGAAAATGTTGTTATATTAAATGATAATTTATAAATTGTACATACAGTTCCATATAGAAAACAACAACATAATATAAAAGCGTCAAACAAAGTTTGCTCCAGCTTTAAACATAAAAGATTACGCCATTTCATTTTTTAAAGCAACACATGCATTGCTGCAATAGTGTGAGTGAAGCAGTAATAGAACCACCGAACAGCTGCTTTACTCATTTTAATAATTTAGAGGCATGTTCATGTGCCCAAAGAATGATTGAACAAAGTTTTCCATCCTGCAGTTGATTGCAGTTACCTGGGCAAGGATGACAATCTCACCACGAACAGCATATTCACATGTTTTAACCTGGAAAAAATGAAAAAAGAAATTTGGTGAGGGGTCAAGACAAGAACAGCAATATCGGCAACCAAGAACTCAAAAAGAAGACTTAACAATGAGAATTACAACAAGTTTCCACATTAATTGCCAGAAAGTTTATTAATCTTTTATAATGAAATGACTCATTTATCTGAAACGATATAAGTTACAATGTTTTAAACACTTGAAGAACTCAATTAACAAAATAATAAAAGAATATATACAAGCATGACCGCATCAAGTTCTTATGTAACTCAACTAAGCCTTTTGCATAGTCTTTAAATCACTTCCAAATAAGCACAAGAATTAAAGCTCAACTATCATTCAACCCTGTCTCTATCAGGATTGTGATTCCCTTTAAGTTCCATAAATCTATTTTATAATTTGTTAGAGAAGTGATTCCAAAAACCACCAGGCTTATTTGTCCTGCTTAGATAAAAAAGGTCAGTTAAAAGCCACATAAAAACATAGATGATCATAAGCACATATTCCAGTAATACAAACAGCAAAAATTAAAGCTTTGTGATTTATTTAACAAAGGCATGAATAAACGTTGAGAAGCACATCAACAAGTTTCAAGATATACATAAACATGAAAGCATTAACATACATGCATACATACCTACATACTAGTTAAATTGAAGGATAAAACGTTTATTACGACCAAGGCCCTAACAGTAACACCTTGGCCTTCGCATCTTCCAACTGCTTCTAAGCTCTGCTATTTCCAATCCCCATCCGTTGCTTCATCAAGTAGTAAGGAACCTACAATTATCAGACAAGACTATTACCCAGAAAGTTCTTCATAATGTAACAAATATATAAAAATACAAGCTCCACATTTTACCAAATCAGGTCAACAAAAAATTAAAGCAATCACTAGTTGGTTCAGTCTAACTAGGCTAAACCAGCTAAATTGCACAAAAGGATGTCTAATTAAGCAACCACTATTAATACCAAAATAAGTAGCACTATGCAAAATAAACATACCAGAGTGCCACCATGGAGAGCAATTGAAGCAGAGTATAAAGGGTACTGAGGAATGGGACAAAGGTTCCATCTTTCTCTGATCTTATAAGTAAAGTCATCATTGAATGGACGTGGAGGAAAAAAATCAGTCACAAATCTATCACTTTATTTACATGTCAATACCACATCATATGCTGTATTGAAATAGTTTTATTGTAAACTACATACAAATCTAGTAGAATGTGGCATTTTCAAGGTGGTTTTTAATGTTTGCCTAAATTATCAGATGATGAAATTTAAAGATTTAAGAGGTCTTTAACTTCCTAACAAAATAGGCAAACCGTATAGGAAATTAATAGAATGGTCGCTTTTGAAAAATGAACTCTATTTTATGAAACACATTTTTGACAGTAAACCATGATTCTATAACACTTCATTCAACCAAAAATGGCAATGTCCTTTCCCAATAGAAAACTTCAAAAGGCATGAGTTAAATGCGCATTCGCATTGTAATGGCTACCACCTTATTCTTCTCCAGTTTTAACGAAACCACTTAGCCACGGTACTCATCCATGAAACTTTTATGGAAGTCTGTCAGATGCGAAACAATGGCCGGAATCTTATCCTCCTGAGGCAGTATTGTGCACCTGAAATGCCAAGTGCCAGGAACCTATACAAAACATCACAACACAATTAAAACAACCATAAGTTCACTAGCACAAGTGTTCAATCAAAATCGAGTACAACCAATAGAAAGGAATCAGTAATGTTTACCTGCCCAAAACCAGACCCGGGAACAACAACAATGCCAGTGGCATTCAGGAGGCGACGACAATAGAATGCATCTGGAGCACATTTTGCAGCTTCTGCAGCTTTGATTGCCTTCTCTGGCAATCGAACGCGGGGAAAGAGATACATTGCTCCTTCTGCTTTGTTACATGTTATTCCTTCCAAACTGTTTAAAGCATCTTCCAGTGTCTGCACCAAATATTGAAAATAACTTTAAGAACTAGAGGTTAAAAAATTATTGAATAAATCGCAACAGCAGGTAAAGTAGAGATGTTTGTGCTATTTCTAAGGAGTGACTATGAAGGTAAATGTCACATAACTGCATTTGAGCCAAAAGGAGGGACCATTTAGCTACAAAACCATAAAAATTGCTATACACATTCCACTGAGATTAACAGATAAGCCTGAGCGCATTAAGTGTCTCTATAAATTCAAAATTTTCCTGGCTCCTTTCAGTACCCTCCCACAGAGTAGCCCTTAGATATGAGCTTTAGAATCATATGTTATCTTTGCTAAATTATGTAGTTATCCAATGCCTTTTAAAATGTGGTCACCGTATCAACTTATAGAAGAAGTTAGACAAACTGACCTTTGCACGCCTAGCTAATGACGAGAGAATTCCATCCCTTTCTGCACAGTAAGATTCATAGGATTCATCTCCAACCTGCATATATTTATTTAGTTTGATTAGAAAAACTCAAATATGCATGCACTGAATAACATACCCCAATTGCATTATTTAGAAGCAATTATAGAGCCACCTGGTTTCCACAGCCCTATAACCTGTTGAAACCAAGACTTTCTTACTTCATAATCTCCCAAAGAAAGAACGAAAAGGCCCATATATACATACATACATACATATATACATACACACACTACAGAATTATGCAAAAGCATTTCAAACGTAAACTCTTATAATCAAGAAAGAGCATAAAGAGATGGAAACATGAACTAGTTTATAATTAGTAGAAGAAGACAGAAAGACATGGCAATAATGTATTACTCTCAAATTATGATTCCCTATCCCCACACCACCATTTTTTCTCTACTTTCCTTAGAATTGAATTTATGAATGGCTAGGTCAGCTTAAAAAAGTAGAAAATATATCTAAAAATGGGGAGAACATAACCTTGGGTGGACTCATGACAAGGCTTGCAAGAATTTGACCAGATATATTAGAACAAAGATTAACAGATGCCATTTTGTATATTTGCTCCCTTATGTCAGGAGTAAACCCAGTGACCTCCATGTAACCTCCTCTTTTTCCACACTCCCCATGGTAACCTGAAAACAACAGAAAAATGCAACCATGTTAAATCTTAAATTCAATTGCTTGCAAAAGCTTCTCCACATCTTATCATTTAAAGAATTTACCTTTAGAGACTGACTGAAAGGATACTAGGGATATGTCCTCCTCACCATACCCCATAGATCGGGAAACCTTCTTGAAAGAGTTAAATTTCTTCTCTGGAACATAAACATTTTCCTGGTACACCTATATAAAACCCACTGAACATTACTAAAGGCCTCTCTATTAGCTGGATAACACAGTTGAGCAAATCACAATTATTATATTTCCAAACACGTGAGATTTGATCAATTAATGAAAGTAAAAACAGCTCAAATTCACCCACCTCATCTGCAAGAAGAACAAGACCTTCTTGTTTACAGAAATTCACAATGTCCCTCTGGTTCTCTTCAGCAAGAACCTGAAGGTATGGTTAAAAAACAAAACGGCAGAAACAAGCCAGTAATCAAAACTTAAGGTAGCTTCTCTTAAATAATTATAAAATACTAAATTAATTGAAAAAATTATTTCAACCAGAGAGCTATGCAATAATTACCTGCCCTGTTGGGTTCCCTGGATTTATTACGACCAAGGCCCTAACAGTGACACCCTTGGCCTTGGCATCTTCCAACTGCTTCCTAAGCTCTGCTATTTCCAATCCCCATCCGGTTGCTTCATCAAGATAGTAAGGAACCTACAATTATCAGACAAGACTATTACCCAGAAAGTTCTTCATAATGTAACAAATCATATAAAAATACAAGCTCCACATTTTACCAAATCAGGTCAACAAAAAAATTAAAGCAATCACTAGTTGGTTCAGTCTAAACTAGGCTAAACCAGCTAAATTTAGCACAAAAGGATGTCTAATTAAGCAACCAACTATTAAATACACAAAATAAGTAGCAACTATGCAAAATAAACATACCAGAGTGCCACCATGGAGAGCAATTGAAGCAGAGTATAAAGGGTACTGAGGAATGGGACAAAGGATTCCATCTTTCTCTGATCTTATAAGTAAAGTCATCATTGAATGGACCTGTGGAGGAAAAAAAATCAGTCACACATTCTTTAAATTGGAAATTATTCACATTAAAAGAGAGTGAGTTGAAATGTAACTTACAGCTGGGCTAGCACCATCTGTCAAGAAAATATCATTTGGATCAGCAGGAAAACCGTCACGAGCTTCAATTCCAGCAGCTATGGTATCACGTAATCCCTTGATACCCTGATGTGAAAAGAAAAAAATAATGAGCCCCGTAAATATTATCATAAGTATTTAATTAACTTAAATTTCTCTGCTTTGTTCATTCATCATAACCTGACTATGACTATAAGCACCAGTTGCACCTCCGGGAATTTGATCCAGAATCTTCCAAGCTCGCTCAATGGAATCCGCGCTGCAGAAAATCACAAACCAAGTTACAGGAGATAACTCTATAAACAAAAACTAGTCGTTCACCACATTAAAGAATTCTCTGCAAGTAAAGTGTAAATAACAAGAGATGAATAACAGGTTCTTTTTAACTAGCTCAAAGTCGAGTTTTCAGCAAAATATGAATAAATAAATAATGGCATTCACCAAATAGTAGAAGAATCAGTGAAATGATTTAAAAACAAAGTAATAGATTCAAAACATCATGCTTCAGGTTTCGTCTGCTTTACTTGCATGGAGAACAAACAGTTTTAACCATACAGCAGTTTACTTTTCGCATAGAAAGTTGTAGTATGTACCATCATTTTATTCAGGGTAGAGACATTAACAGTAAATTTCATTAGATTAAACTAACGTAGCTTGTTGATCAGAATACTCAAACCTCTATTGGGAGATGAAAAGAAGCAATCAAATTTATAATGCAAGATGTGGAGTCCAGGAAGTATATGAGTTCCTATTCAGTTTTTTACCTGAACAAAGCTTGTGTTTCACTTCTGTCCAAAATAGTTGGATGGTCGCACAATGCGAGGACCTAACAGATATGATCCCAATTAGAATTGCTTTGAAAGAACTAGGACTGGAGTACTTTGTAGCATGAACGTAGAAACAAACCAACCTCTCGGAAAAATGTTATCGGCTGCTGACCAAGAGACTGGGGATTTCCAATATTGCAGTATATTATCTGTGTAACAAATCATCCCAAAAACACAACGAATAGAATATAAGAATCAACAAACAAGCTTTAAAGCAAATGCTCAGAAAAAAAAAAAAAAAAAATGTGGCAAGTAACAGAGTTTTAAATGTATTTTGTCATAGGAATTTATAGTACTCCCTTTTATTTATGAACTTTAATTTTCTGAATCAATAATTCACTGAGGCAAAAATTCCAGCAGGCAGAATTTCTAAATTAAAAAAGCATCAAATAGTAACATAACTATACATCAATGAATAGCATGATATTAGACCAAGTCTAAAATAGAGTGCTTCAATAATGTGTAACTGAATATTAAAATACGCCCCACATGTCCATTTAAAAAAAACTTATAATGAGAATATATATATGTACCTCGTCAAAAGGGTGAGAACCTGGCTTAGCCTGTAACTCTTCTTGCAATTTCTGGGACAGGAAAATGTTGTTATATTAAATGATAATTTATAAATTGTACATACAGTTCCATATAGAAAACAACAACATAATATAAAAGCGTCAAACAAAGTTTGCTCCAGCTTTAAACATAAAAGATTACGCCATTTCATTTTTTAAAGCAACACATGCATTGCTGCAATAGTGTGAGTGAAGCAGTAATAGAACCACCGAACAGCTGCTTTACTCATTTTAATAATTTAGAGGCATGTTCATGTGCCCAAAGAATGATTGAACAAAGTTTTCCATCCTGCAGTTGATTGCAGTTACCTGGGCAAGGATGACAATCTCACCACGAACAGCATATTCACATGTTTTAACCTGGAAAAAATGAAAAAAGAAATTTGGTGAGGGGTCAAGACAAGAACAGCAATATCGGCAACCAAGAACTCAAAAAGAAGACTTAACAATGAGAATTACAACAAGTTTCCACATTAATTGCCAGAAAGTTTATTAATCTTTTATAATGAAATGACTCATTTATCTGAAACGATATAAGTTACAATGTTTTAAACACTTGAAGAACTCAATTAACAAAATAATAAAAGAATATATACAAGCATGACCGCATCAAGTTCTTATGTAACTCAACTAAGCCTTTTGCATAGTCTTTAAATCACTTCCAAATAAGCACAAGAATTAAAGCTCAACTATCATTCAATCCTGTCTCTATCAGGATTGTGATTCCCTTTAAGTTCCATAAATCTATTTTATAATTTGTTAGAGAAGTGATTCCAAAAACCACCAGGCTTATTTGTCCTGCTTAGATAAAAAAGGTCAGTTAAAAGCCACATAAAAACATAGATGATCATAAGCACATATTCCAGTAATACAAACAGCAAAAATTAAAGCTTTGTGGTTTATTTAACAAAGGCATGAATAAACGTTGAGAAGCACATCAACAAGTTTCAAGATATACATAAACATGAAAGCATTAACATACATGCATACATACCTACATACTACTTAAATTGAAGGATAAAACGAATCTAAAATGAAAGAAGTGGAACATCACAAGGAATCAACTCCAGAAAGCCAAAAAGTAATAAATAATAACATTTTTTATTTAATAAATAAAAAAAAATGCAGTCCCAGATTTACAGGCACCTCAAATTAACAGTATATGACAACAAAAAGCGATGAAACAGTGAATCAAAACATACATAAACACAAGATACCTATAAACTCAATAAAAGGAGTAAAACATAAATAAACCCAGATGGAGAAACACTTCAAATCAACCATAAACGGAAAAAAAAAAAATCAATCAAATTAGCACCTTGAAGAGAAACCCAGGTGGAGAAACATTATAAATCAACAATATTTGATCAAAAAACAATCAAGTACCAGCTTGAAAGACAAACCCAATAACACAAATCAAAAGTAAACAAAAAGAGAAACACAAGCAATCAACGATATATGCGGAGAAAACAATAAAATTACAACCTTTGGGTTGATGGTGTCAATGGTGACAGCAGGAGATGAATTGGAAGAAGCCATTGAGGGAGGAGAAGAAGAGGATAGGAAACGAGAAGAGAGAAGACGGTATTGATTTTGATTTTTATTCTGAGAGTGAAAGCGACGGCTTAGATGGTTTCTGAGACTAGCAAAGAGTACGAATGTCCGCATCGTTTTTACATATAAAGAGAAGTTGAGACTTGAGAATGAATGACAAGTACGAGTTGTCTGACACTTTCCTTGAAACCGACTTCCTTGGTGTTTTGTCCAAGTCTTTGACTTCGATTCAATTTTGCGCCCACGGGTCTTGATTTTCGCTCCCTGTCCCTATGTTTTTACATCACCAACTCGCCGCATTAAATCAAGAGTTTTTTCTTCCCTTTTTTAACTTCCCTCTCTCTTCTTTCATTCTTTATCCAAGACGAAAATCACGTATTCAAACCAAAGAACCCTTAAAATATTAGTTTGATTTCGTTTTGCTCCACACACTCAACAATCATACTATCAAAGTATGTGAATATCTCTACCTAATGTTGTAACAAAGTGGTTTCAAAGTGTATGTATTTGGTCACAAAATATTTTCTTTATATTGAGTGTGCTGTAATTTACGAGTTTTGAACTTAATAATATGAATATGAAATTGGATTTGCCGTGTAAAAGGAGGTAGGTAGTGTTGGCTAAGATTAACTTAATTCCTACAAAAGTGGGCATTTATTTTAACTGGCTTCTTTGATAAAGAAGATGACTTTTTGATGCCATCACAGTTAATGCAACTTAGCCAAATCATTCATATGCAGATTACAGAATCCAAAAACAGATTCATTTTGGTTCATTCTTATCTCACCATGAAATTTGCTTATACATTCACTTCTAATCTAAATAATGTTACAAATAAGAGAACAAATACAAAAGCACAAGCACATACACATACACACACAAAGTGTATCTCAATATTATACCAATATCGGACTCTTGGCCTTGGATTATCTACCTCTCTAACCAACTTCTTAAAATCATAAGGCTTCTTCAAATGAAACACTGGTCTCAGGCAACCATTCATTGCCTTGGATAAATGTTCCCACTGTAAATTTCCCTGCTTCAGCATTTGTGAGAGTGGGCTTATAACCAGCCCATTTAACCCGTTGGTCGACGGTTGCGCCCGGTCCAGTGTTTAGGTACTCAGCGTAGAATATGGTCTTAGGTGGGTCAACATTGCTGACCCATTCTTTCCAACCCACTGGCTGCAAGAATGACCCAATCTCAGACTGCATAATGACTGTAGTAGAGTATTCTTTCCAAGGCCTACCAAGGTATGTTGGGGCTGTTAGAGTAGTGTCTAGAGGTGAAAATGTACACTTCTGAATTGAAATGCCAGTGTTCTGGTTTGGGTCCTTTTTGCCTTGGGCTGTGATGGTGTTGAATTGGTTAGCCAGAGGTTGCCTAGGCTGGATGTTGCAGTTTTGTAAAACAACAGCAGCATTGCCAAAGATAAAGTCAATGGTGCCTGTAATGTCACAATCCTTGTAGAATTGACGATTGGAGTGGGCATATAGAGTGTCCTGAAATGCATCAAATTTACACCGGTAAAATACCGACTGGTCAGAGCCGGACCGGAAGGCCACTGCTTGGTGTTTCGCTGCTCCTGCTGTGTTGATGAAAGTCATGTCTTTTGCCATGAAACCCTTACCAGCAACAGCTGATGATCATAGACATAAGTTATAGTTAGTACATCATTTATTCACATCTAATGTGTCATAAAAGCATTTATAAAAAGTAACAAAAGTAACCTGTGGCTTTTTATTGTTATCAGTATATGAATAAAATAAAGATATTCAAACACAACTCCCTCGAGATTAATGCATATTTTTAAAAGATGAGAACACAGAGACAAAAAGTGGGGAATTCATGTTCCAATGCGAATGTTGCGGCCATCAGAAAAACCACAACCCACAGATCAAGCAGTAAAACATGTCATGTGAGTTGTCTTCAGAATCTTCTTAGTAATTAATACTCAAACTGTGCTAGCTTCTTGTAAAGGCTAAACTAAGTGATTAGAAACATGCTCTAGAAAAGGCATTTTAAACGATTGCTTCATTTGAACATTTGAATTACCGGCCATGATGTGGGAGACAAAAGCATCACTAAAGGCTACTTCCTCCTTGGATCCAACCACAAAGAATAAAGCCAATTCCTAAATGTCTTCATATATATCACACCAACTTGCAATTGCAATTGCAATTGCAGGCCAGGCCTTGACTTGAAATGAATGAACCAGACAACAAATGGGGCCACATGCATCATGAAAAAACAGAGATGAGCTAGAGATGCACATGGTGGGGTACAGAAAAGAAAATCCAATGGTTTTTAATAGTATTCAAACCAACTTTAATGTAATGGGGATCAAGTTCAGCATTTTAGGTAAATGAAACAAATCATATTCACATGGAAACACATATCCATGTGGTTTCTCATCTTTGTTCATTATAACGTAGCCACGTATCCACTCCTTGTCTAAGTAATCAACAAATCTTAGTAATTAATTTATAGAAAGACAAGTTTGCTGTGATCTTAGAATGCAAAAGAAATTTAGGTGGGCAGTCAATGACTTTTATAAAATCTATACCTAATGAACCAAACTTTTGAATGGCAAAAACCACTCATTTTCATGTTCATAACTTTCAATGGTTTTTACCAAGAATGCAAGTAACATCTACTGTTATCATCAATTTGTAAATACCAACCAATGAAGTAATTAAAAAGTTAAAGTTAAAGAACAATAAACTTACCAACAGTGGCTGTAGAGAATGTAGGAGTTCCATCAATGAAATTCAAGCTCCCAGAAACAATAGTATGTGTCTTGCCATCACCATACATCATCACATTCCACTTATGTTTATCCAAAATCACATTCTCTTTGTAAGTTCCTTTCTTAATATGTATCACAAATCTTGTTGGACTCTTTTTAGACACCTTATCTACAGCTTCCTTAATGGTGCGGAAATCCCCAGTGCCGTCTGCCGCCACTGTGACATTCGGTGTAGGGTTGATCTCCTGGAGGAGCCGCCTATCGCCGGCGCTAACCCATCTCGGAAACCCTGAAGAATCTGATCTTTCAAAACCAAGTAATCTCCTATGAATAGGAACTTTAACCTGGGACAATAAATTAACAATCTTTGTTCCAATGGCCAAACTATTGCTCGCAAACTGGGTAGAGTTCTCCATGGCAGTTCTAATATCTTTTGGAATGGAGGAGTTTCCATAATGGGTTGAGTTTAGCTCGTCTAGAGCATCTAAACATGTCTCTTGGTCAGTGATTGAAGCACTGAGCCAAGTCTTCATATCATCAATCTTTGATGAGGACAACAACTTCTCTCCCTCAGCAACTTCCATGGAAGACAAAGAATCCGTGAGCCGATCTACAGCATCATCAAACACTGTTTCACAAACAGTCAAAGCATCTTTAACTTGAGCATCATCGGTTTTCTCCTTGAGCTTAGATGGAATTTCCGACAGCTTCGACGTCTCATTAATGGCGACGCGTAAAGAAAGCTTGAAGAACATTTCTGGATCAGTAGTGTTGAAGGCGCCAGCTTGACTGGCGATACTCGAGAAGCAAGAACTGGGGTATCGAGTCACACTGCAAACCGCCTTGAGAGAGGCCGATGGAGTCATTCCGGATGCCGGAACCGAATCATCAGAAGAACTTTTGCCCTTGTGCACCACAACTCCTACCACAGCTCCAATGATGACAGCAACAAGAACAATGGCGGAGACTATTAAAATGATCAAACGCTTTCGTGTCTTTTTCCGGAATGCTTGTTCTTCAGCAGGATCAACTTTGCCATAGCCCTTAAAGGACTTGATAGTATCCATCACAGTTTAGTTTAACGAAGCTTTGTTTGAGATATGAGAAGAAGATGTAGCCTAAGTAGAATGTCTTTATATATAAGGGAGGCAAAGATAGAATCTCCTTCTTGGATGCTTCTTAATAAATTGTTAATAACAACGATTAATTAACTATACATACTTTTATAGTTTATTAGTTCTATATGATGTGGCTGGATACAAATACTTTCACCCATTGCTTTCATCTGAATGATGAACATTACTCGACAAAATCATTTATATTATTTTAAGAATTTCACGCGGCAAAGATTCCATAATTTCAACTGAATTAGTATAACTGAATTAGTATGCTTGATTAATGAAGGACATTTGGGATTAGGATAGTGAGTTTCTAACTGTAACATATAAATAAAATATTAATATAGATAGTGTTACACGGCAAAGGAAGGTGGAACGCAATAAATATATGGCTAATTTAGTGGAGAAATTTAGTACACAGCTGTTGTGTTCTAGAAATTTAAGTAGGTCATGAAGCTTTTTCAGAAATCCTGAACTTGAGCACCAAATGTCAGCTTCATAGCCTTCATATTCATATTATATTTTATTCTATGGGCAGTTGGGCACCATAGTTTTGTGAAAATGAAGCCGCCTGTCTTTTGTTTTTGGTCAAAACTTTGCAATGGAACAAGTAAAATGTCTACTTACTAAGGGTCTTTTTCATGTTTAATTTGTTTAATAAATCCCACCTAGTGTGTGTTAACTTGAAGATTAATGATATTTTAAAACATATTCTGTGAGAATTGGTCTTATACATTGGTACAATATTCATAATAATCCTAGCCACCCACAATAAGTGTGAAGAGCAAGCGAGTTCAGCCAATGCCTTGGTCAAATTTCATATCATGATTGTTGAAAGATTATGATGGTGATGAGAAGACGAGGTCTGAATCTGATCTAGCATCCATTTTGCTATGAGAAGAGATCAAGTATTTGATTATTTTCCATTTGGGATGACTCATAGCATGTGATGATGTGAAAGCCAGCTCAATACCAACTTCTTAGCCGATGATTGCGCCAATAATATAACAATTTGGATCAGAATTCTCGTACCAGTACATAGTATATATTATTTTCTTTCTTATTATCATTTATCCCAACGGTGGTTCTCAAGATGTTTCCATTCATGAATAGTAAATAGCAAGCTTGTGAAGAAACATGATGGGTGTTTTCATTGATAATCAACAATAACATGTCTCAAACATGTGATGTTATACATGTTATTTAGCCAATAAGATGTTCCCAAGTTAACAAACTTTGGGTGGTCGAGTGGTTGAATAGAAACTCTTGGGGTATTATCCAAGAGATCCTGAGTTCGATTTACTTTAATTGCTAATAGAGATAGTCATTGGAGATTTATCCGACCATCAACTTCAGGACCTCTGGATTAGTTAAGGTACGCGTAAGCTAACCCTGACACCCTAATTACCCAGGAAAAAAATAGAGCTACTCATTTGATTTTTGCCCAATTCTAGATCTGAAAAGGACTTCAAGTTGCCTATCTCCACAAGAATGGCACCAAAAAGGTTGTTGGTGTGAAGGTATAAAAATTTTAAGTTGGTCAAATTTCCAATGGAGGGAGGAATAGAGCCATTCAGTTGATTTTTGCCCAATTCTAGATCCGAAAGGAACTTTAAGTTGCCTATCTCCACAGGAATGACACCAGAAATGTTGGTGGTGTAGAGGTATAGAACTTTTAAGTTGCTCAAATTTCCAATGGAGGGGGAAATAGAGCCACTTAGTTGATTTTCGCACAAATCTAGAACTGAAAGAGACTTCAAGTTGTCTATCTCCATAGTAATAGCACTAAAAAGGTTGTTGGTATAGAGGTATAAAACTTTTAAGTTGCTTAAATTTCCAATAAAGGGGGGAATAGAGCCACTCAGTTGATTTTTGCCCAATTGTAGATCCGAAAGGAACTTTAAGTTGCCTATCTCCACAAGAATAGAGCCACTCAGTTGATTTTTGCCCAATTATACATCTGAAATGAACTTCAAACTGCCTATCTCCACAGGAATGGCGCCTAAAAGGTTGTTGGTGTGGAGGTATAAAAATTTTAAGTTGCTCACATTTCCAATGGAGGGAGGAATAGAGCCACTTAGTTGATTTTTGCCCAATTCTAGATCGGAAAGGAACTTCAAGTTGCCTATCTCCATAGGAATGGCGCTAGAAAGGTTGTTGGTGTGGAGGTATAAAAATTTTAAGTTGCTCAAATTTCCAATGGAAGGAGAAATAGAGCCACTCAATTGATTTGTGTCTACTGCTAGATCTGAAAGAGAGCTCAAGTTGCCTATCTCCTTAGGAATAGAGCCAGACAACTTATTGGCAAAAAGGTAAAGGGTGTCTAGATTTGTTAGGTGACTCATTTGAGCAGGGATAAACCCAAAGAGTTCATTCTGGCTTAGATCAATGTATGCAAGATTGGGAAATATTGAAAAAGACAGTTCATGAAGAGTACCTTTTAAATTTGTACTGGCTAAGTTAATGCTAATGATACTTCCGGCATGGTTGTAAGAGATTCCAAACCAAGTACATGGGCTTATTTTGGTTTTGAGGTGGGTAGCAGTATTTGTGGCATTCACAGAAGAAAGAGTCCACGATTTGGTTTTGAAGCCTGGCTTTCCATTTGAGAAGAGCCAATGCTTCTTGAGTAGAATTACAAGCAACATCAAGTGAAGAATATTGTGACATAACAACAAACAAGACTAGGGAAACAAGTGAAAAAACTCTCTTCAAGTTTGACAATCCCATTGTTTTTTATGTTATGCAGTTCATATCATAATTTGGATATACATATATATATCATAATACATACTTTAAGGCTTGAAAAGTTTCCTCCTCTAATTTCACTCTCACTAAATAAAAATATTTGCAACCTCTTGATGTGGATACTAATCTTTCTTATCCTCTGCCAATGACAGATGCATATATGCTCAAACGTATTAGACTTGACTTAAAAGCGTTCCTGTCTTGCATTCATGCCTAATTTAACAATGAAATTTAAAAATATAGAGGTTGACCACTTCAATTTTCTAACTATAATAGTAGCTCCAATTGGCAAATTAATTGCTCACATAGTTTTCTAGTACTAACAGGTGAATGGAGTTTGATGGAAACAGATTTTGATCTGAAGGTGACAACTCTAATGTTCATCGTATGGTGAATGCAACTCCATACATGTGTATAGTCAGGATCTTGTAACTTACAAGACATTGGTGCTTAAAAGTCTCCAATTCCAACTTTGTTGTTTTGTTGAGAAATTCTACACATAAATTTTCTGCAACTTGCCCCTTGATCATCTGGACAATAAATATGCTTATTCTTTCTCTAGGTATTATTAAGTAATTTTATAACATAAATTAAGTGATGGAAATCTATAATCTTGGTATTAAGTTTCAATGTTTTTTTACAATGATACACTTGTAACTACCAATGATAATCAATGGTAGAGTAAAAAAAAAATAAGTTTGGAGGTGTTATATTACAAATTTTAATAAATTAATAAATCATCTAGAAAATACATTTTAAGTGGTGAAAAATAATTCTTACATATAAAATTAATTTTTTTTAATTGGAACCTGCATGGGTAGCATCGCCCCTGACAATAATAAAAGTGAAAAATAAGATGAACTTATAATATACAACATTGACATAGCATGTTCCAAGTATGGAGTAAATATTGATTTCACAATAAACTTACGAAAGGGGTACAAATGCATTGGCAACATATTAGTCAGAATCCGAAAATATAATATTGTAGTAACATATAATAATACTAGTATGAGCGAAATACATGTATTAGAAAAAAGTGGGAGTTTCCATGAAAGTGTGACGTGCAAAATCGGAATTGGATTATGAAATCAAACTATAGTTATTTGTTTGAAGTATGACCATAATTAGTATAAAAAAGAATTGATGTAAAAGAGATTTGGTCAATAGAGGAATGTAAAGTCAAATCATCTTCTTGATTGGTTTGAAATTTGGTATATATTTTGTAAAAAATAATAAACAATTTGAGTATTTTTAGAATATCTCGTGAATAATTATCTAATATGATAAAGCTTTTTAAAACATTCTGTGTTGCACCCTAAATGAGATTCTATTCCACTAAAATCAATATCATAGCTGATGAAATCATATTTACCCAAATTGACGGACTAGTGAGAACTTATCCATGCCATATTGTACTCTTTGAATGAAAAATTCATTTTCTAAAGGAGAACGGCTTTCGAATGATGGATTAGTTAAAATCAATAAAATTATTTGATTTCAAAGTGTAAATATTAAAAATAATAAGAAAATAAGAAAAGCAAAAAACTAATAAAACAATTTAATTAAAAAGAGAAAACCCTGTTTTAAAATTAAATAAAAAACTAACATAAAAATTTTATATAAAAGAGAGGAGAACCATTTTTATTTTAAAATTAAAAAAAAAAATATAAAAAAAAATGACGGTTATTTATTAAATTTTTTTTATTAATGTCACTTTAATTTAGGAGAGATTTTCCAAATTAGTTGGTAGACAAATACTACAACGTGCGCTATGGGTACTTCTAAGCTTAATTTTTTCAAAAAATAAAAAATAATGGTCTTTGATCAAAATCATATTTGTGGAAATTCAGATTTAAGATAGTTTGATTCATTATTGAGTCTATGAACTTGGAATTTTGAGCAATGAGAAAATAGCGATTAGAAATAATAGATAAGGATAATTTTTTAGGTTATCGCTTATTCAAAGTTTAAAGTCTAGCACCTAGAACGGTTTGAAAATTTGGTCACTTTGAGATTGACAGAATGCTAGTTTAAAGTCTAGCTCCTAAAACGGTTTGAAAATTTGATCACTTTGAGATTGACAGAATGCTAATTTAAAGTCTTGCTCCTAAAACATGTGATGTTATACATGTTATTTAACCAATAAGGTATTCCTAAGTTAATCTCCTTTGGGTGGCCGAGTGGTTGAATAGGAATTCTTGGAGTATTATCTAAGAGGTCCTATATATGTTCTATTCATCTTGATTGTTGATAGGAGTAATTACTAGAGATTTATTCGACCGTTAATTTTAGGGTTTCGAGAATTAGTTAAAGTGTGTGCAAGTTGG